AACCTCAATCTCCTGGGCTCAAGTGATCCTCCTGCCTCAGCCTCCCGAGTAGCTGGGACTACAGGCACGCGCCACCATGCCTGGCTAATTTTTTCTATACATATATATTAGTTGGCCAATTAATTTCTTTCTATTTATAGTAGATATGGGGGTCTCATTCTTGCTCAGGCTGGTTTCGAACTCCTGACCTTGAGCAATCCACCCGCCTCGGCCTCCCAGAGTGCTAGGATTACAGGCGAGAGCTACTGCGCCCGGCCCATGATATTTATTGAGTGTCCATTACGTGTTAGCCTCATGCGAATTATTTTACAAACATCATCTTACCTGATTTCCCAACTGCCCTAAGAGGTCAATATGATTATTATAACCCATTTTATAAAGCCAAGAAACTGAAATAGGTTAAGTAGTTGCCCGAGATTACAGAGTTAGAAGTGCCAGAGCTCAGATTCAAGCCTGTGTACCCCTGATTTTAGAGTCTGTTCTCTAAATTGCTGAATGCTATAATTTTGGCTTTTCTTTTCTCTCCTTTTAAAATAGCTATATGTGTTTATTTTTGGATGTCACATATCTATTTTTTATGTTTCATCTTTTTTTCTCATAACTTTTATCTCTTTATTCTAAAAATATAAAGAGATTTCTTGAGTTTGTCCTTTAAGTCACTTATTTAATTTTTCTGCTGTAACCAATCTGCTCTTTCCTGCTTCTCCTTGCATTAAAAATTCATGAGTGAGGTCTCCTCTCTTTAAGGTGATTTTCCTATTTATTATGTTCCTTCCCCATGGTTGGTCCTTCTTGCTTTTGTCATACCTTGAGCAAGAAGGAAGTGTCATACCTTGAGCAAAAGGAAGCCTCAGCTGAGCATCATATGAAATAAATGAAAAGATTGTATAGCCATGCCTTCTCAAACAAAGGTATGGCAATCTTCTCTAGAAATCATCTATTATTGAAACAACAATAACATGGCTGGGTGAGGTGGCTGGGCAATGTAGTATGATCCTATCTCTACAGAATATAAAAAAATTAGCTGGGCATGGTGGTGTACACCTGAAGTCTCGGTTACTTGGGAGGCTGAGAAAGGATGATCACTTGAGCCCAGGGGTTTGAGGTTGCAGTGAGCTATGATGACGCTGGTGCACCCTAGCCCAGGCAATAGAGTGAGACCCTGTCTCAAAAATAAATGAATAAATAAATAAACAAACAAAACTCAAACCAAAACCAAAAAATCCTGTTAGTTACCTGCATGTCCAAAGGAACTCTATTCAATGTTCAGGACAAGGAAGTGTTGGTCAATGAAGCTGTGCTTACTTCGCTATGTTCTCTGAACAATTCATTGGCCTCTCACTTTTTTCAATCTCTTATTTTCAATCTCCTGGCCTAAGACCAGAACACCTCCCATCTCCCTGCCCTAAGTGTGAATTTCCCCTCATCTATGGGACAATGGGGTTAGGAACACTAGTAAAAATCAATAGGGTTTGATTTCTGTGCATATACCCATGAGAACTGAAAGCAGTTCATGGTAGTATCATTCACAATAGCCAAAACATGGAAGTGGCCCAAGTGTCCATTGATGGATGCATGGATAAGCAAAATGTGGTATATCCATACAATGGCATATTACTCAGCCTTAAACAGGAAGGAAATTCTGCAATATGTTACAATATGGATGAACCTTGAGGACATTATGCTAAGTGCAATAAGGCAGTCACAAAAAGACAAATACTGTATGACTCCACTTACGTGAGGTACTTAGAATAGTCAAAATCATAGAGACAGAAAGTAGAATGGTGGCTACCAGGGGCTGGGGGAGGACAGGAATGGAGAGTTATTGTTTAATAACTATAGAATTCTATAACTCTATGAAAAGAGTTACAGAGATGGATGGTGGTAATGATTGTACATTATGAATGTATTCAATGCCACTGAACTGTACACTTAAAAATTCTTAGGATGTAAATTTTATGTTACATATATTAATATTTTATCATAATAAATTTTTTTTTAAAAATAGAGTCACTAGGGGTTGGCAGCATGGGGGTAGAAGAGAAGTTGAGCATCATGCTAAGATTTAAGCCTCAGGGTTGAGAATTTAAGGATCTGAATCACCTTGAACTTGAAGCGCCAGTAGAACATGAAGGACCGCTAAAGTTTGCCTTTCTCCAAATGATCTCTGATCATACCTGGTTTACTCCTGCAGGGGAGGGGGCTACAGGTTCTCCCATTTGAATTGTGCTGTTCTGTGTGGAATTTTCTTTGGCCTTCTATGGGGTCCTAGACAGAAACAAAAAGGGAGGTTTGGCTTATTTCCCTGCTGGAGAAGCAGGTGGGGTAGCTCCGTGAAGGACTTCCAGCTAAGTGCCCCGACTCTTGCCAGCAGCATCCCTCTCCTCCCCTGATCCAGATGTCTTCCCCATCAACTGAGCTCCCCAGGGAGGCACTTTCATTGCCTCTGGCTTTTTCCCCCCTCCCCATGTGTTCGTTTAGATTCTAAAATGTGATTTATTGCAGCAGCCTCTGGGAACATGCTCAAAAACACCCAAACCACAAGGAGAAATTGTCCAAACTCACATTGCACCCAGATTTCTTGGGGAGCACTTTTCACAGCTGCCTGAAGGTCGGTGCAATTGTCCTTCGCCAACTGTGAGCCATTTGGGGCTCAAATCACTTTCTCATTATCAGTGAGATGGGCTCAGAGATACAACCCCCTAGATCCCTGAGGGCGTGGGGCCGGGTGATACCGGGTGTGACCAGGTGACCCACATTGCAACACGCTTCAGGACTGCTCATGCTGGTCTTTTGGTCTTCCTTTCAGGCCCTTTCTCTGCCTGCCAGCATTTGACAACTCTTTTTTTCTCGGACTGAATTTCAGAGATCACCTGTTTTTATAAAGCTTTATCCTTTTCTCAGAATCCCTTCTCATCTGCATCTCTGTTAGCATTGTGTACACATCTTCTATTCATACATTCAATAAATATTTATTTTCTAGTTACTGAGTGCTGGTATTTTGTCTGGCAATGGAGATACAGCAGTGAGGCTTTGTCAAAGAACAAAATTTCAACAAATCGAGTTTAAAGATCTAATTGGCTTTTATTAGTGACTCATGATTTGGGCAGCATTCCATCTAAGGAACAGAAAGGCACACTGCCGGGCGTGGAAGAACAGCTGGCTTTTGTAAGGTAGCTTGAGCAGGAACAAGGAAACAGTATAGCGTAGTATAGTAGAGTGGTTAATGCCAGGTTACTTGAAGCCACTTTCCTTGTATGGGTTAAAGCAGAGGGGACTTCCTTATAATGTGGGCTCAGGTCAACTGGTTGACTGGACCCCATTGGATTGGTTGTTGGGAATTTCATGTTTTTGTTTTTGTTTTTTTGAAAACTGGCTGTTTCTGGGTTCAGTCTGATTTGTGGCACCTGGCACAGGCGACTCCACCGTGGTTTGGTCTGGTCTGTTGCGCCTAGTACAGGAACTCAGTCCAAAACAACGGTCTCCCATACATTTTGTCTAAACAGCTTTAACTTTCACGGAGCTTACCTTTAAGTTTGCGTAGACAGACCAACAGAGCTCTCGTGGAAGTGTTTATCTCCCTTAAGTAGGCCCCTCCTTAGCTAAGATTTCACTGTGGCTTCAGTTACCCGAGGTCAACGGTGCTCCAAAACTTTCAAATGAAAAATTCCAGAAACCAACAATTCCTAAGTTTTAAGTTGCATGCCCTTCTGAATAGCGTGAGGAAATCTCTCGCCATTCTGCTCCGTCCCAGTTGGAGCGCGAATCACCCCTCTGTCCCGCGCAGCCTCGCTGTATGTGCTACCTGCCCGTTAGTCATTGACGCTGTCTGCTCCTGACATCCCGCCATAGACGTGGAGAGGGCTGGAGGATTCAGGATCCCCCAAGGCAGGTGATCCTCCTCCCGACGTGCCTTCAGGAGGTCAACAGTAGCCTCACACCATGTCACCATGCCTACGCCATTCACCTCACTTCATCTCATCACACAGGCACTTTGTCATCTCTCTTCATCACAGGGAGGGCGAATCAGTACAACATATTTTGTGTGTGTGTGTGAGAGAGAGACTGAGACCATATTCACATAACTTTTATGACAGTAAATTGTCATAATTGCTCTATTTCATTATTAGTTATAATTGCTCATTTCTTACTGTGCCTAATTTATAAATTAAACTTTATTGTAGGTATTCATTTGTAGGGAAAAAAACATAGTATATATATAGGGTTTGGTACTAACTGCAGTTTCAGGTATCCACTGGGGGAGTCTTGGAATATATCCCTTGAGAATAAGGGGGGACTATTAATACTGTACTAGGTTAAAAGCTGCATTGTCATCATACTTGTCATTGTCATCCTCTACCAGCTCCTTATCTTAGCAAACCCCGATACAGCACTTACTGCGTGCCTGGCTCCTCAGGCACTCTGCGTATTAACTCGTTTAAGGCAGGCGCCACTCCTTATTGAACTCTGTGTAGCGCCCCACCCCTCATGGCCCATAATGCCCAGCGTCATGCCTACCACGTGGTAGATACTCGGTTCATCTATGTTGAATGCACGTGTTGCCCTATTGACTAATTCTGAACAGCCTGGCCTGGTGACACTTGTAAACAGAAACATTTGAATCCAAGGGGAGATTTTTCCTGTTTTCCCTAACCCCTGTCTCCCAAACACATTCAGACATACACACAGGGTCTAACTAGGAAAACCACAATGACTTCAAGGATTCACTACAGAAGAAATTTAGGCAGAGGCTTAGTTACACAGGTGTTGGAGGAGATAATGGTAAGGTGTGGGAGATTGCAAAAAGGGCCACAGATTTTTTTTTTTCTCTCCCATCTAGAAATGATGTATATTTCCTCACCTTTTGAATCTGGGTAGGTCTTAAGACTTCCTTTAGGAGGGAATAATGTTGTATGAATTCCAAGCCTGGGTTTCGAGAAGGTTTTCATGTTTTCTTTCTCTTTTATTTCTCTCTCTCTTTTTTGCCTTCTGTTTTTTAGAACCATCTGCCAGCTGAATATGCCTAGACTGGCCTGTTGGATGCAGAGAGACTCATGGACCCACCATTGCCCAGATGGGGGCCAGCAAAGCAGAGCCCCTGCTCACTTGGCAGCATGAGAATGCCTCCTTAAGACCAGCAGAAGAACTGCCCAGCTGATCCCAGCCTAAATTGCTACCTCATGAATTGTGAGCTACAAATATATGGTTGTTGTTTTAAGCTATTAAGTTTTGGGGTAGTTTGTTTCCCAGCAAAAGAGAACCGGTACATGAAATAACCCAGAGATCGGCAACACCGTGGAAGCCACTACTGCTTTAGGCTGTAGAGACAAAGGGAGAAGGCAAAGAAACTGGGGTCCGGGGTAGTGAGAGCTCGAAAAAGAAGAGGAGTAAGGGAGGGGTGTCCCGTGGGGGCTCAGAGGCACACAGGAGGTAGGGGAGAGGCAGTTGATTGAATTAGAAACTGGAAAAAATACCTTGACTTCTCCCTTCTATCTGCCTCCCAATCTTCCACCAGGGCAGGCTATCAGTTGGGCTCAGAAGGCAGCCAGCTGGGACAAGAGCCTGGAGATGCAGCCTCTAGGAGTTGGCCTCTCTGCAACACAGAGCAGAGTACATGAAGGGCTAGGAATGGATCCAAGTGCAAAGAGGCTGAGGACCAGTACTGTATATCCACTGGGAGAAAGAAAAGGGGGGGGTTACTGATTGCATTTTCAAAACAACAAACTGTATTCCCTTCTGCATATTTTATTCCCTGCTCAGGAATTTAGACCAACAAAAAAGAACTGTAGCTATTGGAAAACTGTGATTGCAAGTATCTCGACTTTTGAGAACATATCCAATCAAATTATATTAGTCTATTTACAAAATGTTCTACTCACCTTGACCCATTAAAAACACAAATAATCAAAACATAGCCTGAATGATGCTATTGTTAAGTCAAACAACACAGAAGTCATAAAACGTAAATTTGATTAATTTTAATTAATTCGGCAAGCATTAAAATCTTTATGAATGCCAACCAAGCACAATGAACACCACAAGACATGCACACACATATACACACAGATAATTGTGGTATACTACAAATGTCATTGACGTATGAAGAGAGTGGGGTGGGGTTATTTAAGCTGGGTCTTGAAGAGTGAGTAGGAGTTCGCCAGGTGGAAAAGAGAAAGAATATAGCTTTCAGAAGGTGTGTGCAAAGGTTTAGAGGTAAGATGCAAGATGTCATATTTAAGAAACCATAAATACTACAGTTTAGTGTGGCTGAAACACCGAGTATAAGAGGGAAATGGAGAGAGAGGAGGCCGTAGAAGTGGCAGGAGCTACCATGGAGGCCTCCTATGTCCCATTTATTAAAAAGAAAAAGAAAGACAAATGAGCTTCTGATATTGTGTTATACTAGAGCTAGGTAAGATGTTACCCTTGAGGGAAGCTGTGTTAAAGGGTACATGGGCCTTTCGGACCATTTTCACCATCTCCTATTAGTCTCTAATTATTTCTAAACAAAAAGTTGTTTTTTTTTTTTAAAGCAAAAGACAAATGTTAATCTGGTGGGGGAAGGGAACCTTTGCAAAACATATACATAAAGATTAATGATTAACAATTACTAATATTCAAAGAGATTTTACCAATTGAAAAGAAAAAGACACCCGAATAGGAAAAGGAACGGCAGTTCACATAAGGGGTTTGCCCTTTATGAGCAATTGGAAGACACTGACATTTTTTATTTTATTAGGTTTTCTTTTCTTTTTTTGTAGAGACAGGATCTCTCTATGTTGCCCAGTCTGATCTCAAACACCTGGCCTCAAGAGATCCTCCTGCCTTGGCCTCCCCAAATGCTGGGACTACAAGCATTAGCCACTATGTCCAGCCTATTTTATTAGATATTAAAGAATTAAATTATTATTACATGTGTTCATTTTAAAGAGTTAAAAAATGACGTAGGAGGGGAAAAACGTTTATAATTTCTGTCCTCTCCTGCCCTGCATGTAGCCAGGGTGTGTAATCAGGAGGGTATCCTAACACACCTTTCTCATATGCAGGGTTCGTTGGTTTGCTTATTTGATCTGGCATGGATTGCAAAAATGGCATAATATACTTATTACTCTGCAACTTGCCCTTTTCCCTTAACGATATATGGACATCCCTCTGGATGAATTGGATCTAATTCATTTGCTTTTTCAACCATTCTCTTATTGGTGGATATTTAGGTTGCTTTTTGTTTTTAGCAATGACAAAATTACTGCCATTAGGATGATCCTGGGTATATTGGGACTTCCATTTCAGTAAAATAGATTTCCAAAGGTAGGATTTCTGGGTCAATGAATGTTTGTATTTTTAGTTTTAATATGAGTCTCCAGATTACTTTTGAAGGTTGTAGCCATTCCTATTTCTTAACGATGTCAGCCAGAAGTGGATATTATCTTTCTTTCACTTGTAAATTTTGGCAAATATAATGGGTGAAAAAAATGCTGGTTTAATTTGCCTTTCCTTGTCTCCTGCATATGTTGAGCATCTTACTGTACGTTCAGTGACAATTGCACATTCCCTTATGTGAACTGCCTGTTCCTTTTCCTATTCGGTTGTCTTTTTCTTTTCAATTGGTAAAACCTCTTTGAATGTTAATAATTGCTAATCATTAATCTTTATGCATGTGCTTTGCAAAGGTTCCTTCCCTCACCAGATTATTTGTCTTTTGCTTTTTTTTAAAAAAAACTTTTTGTTTAGAAATAATTAGAGACGAATAGAAAATTGTGAAAAATGATACAAAGAGGGCCATGTACCCTTAACACAGCTTCCCTCAAGAGAAGCATCTGACATAGCTCTAGTACAATATAAAAACCTCGATCGTCTTTTTTTGAATTTTTTTTACTTTTAGAGATGGGGTCTTGCAATGTTGCCCAGTTGCCCAGGCTAGAGTGCAGTGGCTATTTACAGGTGTGATCATAGTGCATTGCAGCCTTGAACTGCAGGGCTCAGGTGACCCTCCTGTCTTAGCCTCCCAGGTAGCTTGGGCTACAGGCTCGTGCCACTATACTCAGCATTCATTTGTCTTTTGATGTATTATAGTTTATGGTATTGTTTTGATTTCAATAATGTCATTGTATATTTTAATACCTGGTAAGGGAAGTCTTACCACTCCATATATTTTTTTATTATTTTCTTGACTATCCTCAGATACTTATTTTTTCCATTTGAATTTTTTTTTTTTCAAATTTCACTCTGTCGCCCAGCTAGAGTACAGTGGGGTCACCATAGCTCACAGCAACCTCAAACTCCTGGGCTCAAGAGATCCTCCTGCCTCAGCCTCCCAGAGTGCTGGGATTACAGGCATGAACCACCCTGCAGGCTTCCATTTGAAATTTAAAAGCCTTGGACAACTCAGTGCAAGGAGAGAGAGAATTACCCTTCCTCTGCCTTTTTGTTCTATTTGGGCCCTGAACAGATTGGATGATGTCCATTCACATTGGTGAGGGTGGATCTTTTTTAGGCAGTCTACTGATTCAAATGCTAATTTCTCCGGAAACACCCTCACAGACGCACCCAGAGGGGGATTACACAAGGCTGTGAATACCAAAAAATAGGAAACAGGACTCATTTTAGAGGGTGCTTGTCACACCATGGAATACTATGTAGCAGCCCAAATAAGGTGTCTCTGTATATAATGACAAGGAAAAATCTCCAAGATACATTGTTAAGACAAAAAAAAAAAAAAAAAAAAAGAAAAGAAAGAAAGAGGCAAAACCATTTATGGCATCACTTATGTTAAAAAAAAACACAAAAAACCTCATCCATAAAAGAAATTTTTTTTTCTGATAGATATGTATAGAAAATAACTGGAACATTGCCAACTGATTACCATGATTAAATCTTGAATTTTTTTATTATTCTGTATTGTTTGATTTTTTTTTAAAAGATAATATATTCATGTTTTATGCAATTGAAAATAATTTTCAATGAATAAATAAAACGGACTATATTGTGATCACAGAAGAGCGATGACAGCTATAAATAATATGGCAGCAAGGAGGATAGAGAAAAATAGGATATAAGGAAGGAGTATGTTAATGAAAAAAACCGGAACTGTAAAGTAATTTAAAGAGGTTTATTCTGAGCCAAATGTGTGTGACCACGGCCCAGGCAGCCAAGACTAAGAAGTCTTGAGCACGTTGTCCTGAGGCGGTTGGGTTTAGTTTGGTTTTATACATTTTTAGGGAGATAAGAATTGCAGGTAAAGTCCTAAATCAATACATGAATTGGTCTGAAAGGCAGGACATTTCAAAGTGGGGGGCTTACAGGCTAGAGGTGGATTCAGAGATTCTTTGATATATAATTGGTTAAAGAAATAGAACTTTGTCTAAAGGCTTGGTATGTTATCTTAAATTAGTTATTTAGAGACCAGGTCTTGCTCTGTCATGCAGGCTGGAGTGCAGTGGCAAGATCATAGCTCACTGCAGCCTCAAAGTCCCGCCTTCCATGTAGCTGGGACTATAGGCACACACTGCTACGTTTGGCAGGGATCTCACTATACTGCCCAGGCTGGTCTCGAGCTCATGGCTTCAAGTGATCCTCCCTCCTCAGTCTCCCAAAATGCTGGGATCATAGGCTGAGCCACCACTCCCAGCTGCTTGGAATGTTTTAGTTAATATAAGGAAGTCTATTAATCAGAGATAAGCCACAGTATACCACTCAAGTCACCTGTTAAGCAAACTGATGGTCTGTAGATGATTTTACCTTCGCCCTACATGGCCTTAGGTCTTGTTAATAGCTTAGTATCTTATTGTCACAAAGAGTCTGTTTTGTCAGTCTTGTGGTCTCTGTTTTAACATTAATGCTGGGCAGTTCTTGTATCTAAACTCCAAAAGGGAGGGGGTATAACTAAGGCATGTCCAACTTCCTTTCCCTTCATGGCTGGGAACTCAGTTTTAAGGTTTTTCTGGGGTCCTCTTGGCCAAGAGGGGGCCTGTTCAGCTGGAAGGGGGACTTAGGATTTTATTTTAGTTCATAGGTATTTCAGAGGTAAAAATCAAGAGGTTTTCAAGGATCTGATTTTTTAAAAAAGGAAGAGTTTAGGAGAACTTTAAGATTTCAAGCTTAGGTGACTGGGTGGAATTCTCATTTAATTAGAGAGCACAGAAGGAAGAAGAGATTTTGGAGGAGCTAAGGGTGAAACGCTAAGCTTT